CGGAGCATTCGGAGCCTCAGGTTCACGGTGCAGCTGGTTCTTACCAAGGCTGCACTTGGGGCTGGGGTGATGATGAGGATAAGAAGGCAACAGAGTGACAACGGTGATGGTCCTTGACACGTGCACAGCACTTTACAGTTTATAAGCCGCTTTTACACTAGCTATTTCACATACTTGGTAACAGCTGCTCTGAGGTTGGTGGTAGTGTCCCCATCTCTGAGACCCAGACAGGAGAGGGGGCTTGAAGACCACACGGCAAGTTACTAGCAGGGCTGGAACCAGAACACGAGGAGGTGCCAGCTCCAGTCCTACGTGCCTTCCGCTCGGCTGCGCTGCGCAAGCTGGGAAGCAGGCCACGAGGGCTCCGCTTTGGCCCTCATTTCGCCCCATGACGTTGGGGAGCAGCCAAGCCCTCCATCTCCCCACCTGGAAAGCTGAGAGTGAATCCCCAGGGGTGCATTCAAGCGGCAGTTTGTGGCCACAGTCAGGGCTGGGGAGGGGTGCTTGCCGGCTGCCCTCGGAAAGCCAGCGCAAGGACGAAGGGCGCCGAGCCGCTCCCCTCCGCGCCTGGCCGGCCGCCGTCTCCCTCCAGCCTCGCTCCGTGCTCCGGTTCATCGATCCGGGCTCCGGGTCTTCGCTGGCGCCCCGTCGCTCGGGAGACGCGGTGAGCGGCTTGCGGTTGCCTTGGGAACCTCCGGGGCCGGCGGCGCAGGAGGACCAGCGCGGCGCGCGGGAGCCGGGCCTGCGCCGCGAGCCGAGAGCGCCGCTGCAGTCTCCGAAAGACACCTGTCGCCAGCGGCGCGGGGAGGGGGCATCGCGGCCAGAGGAATGTTTTTCTTTTCATTGAGGTGACTTACAAACAGCAATACATTTATCTTAAGAGCACAGCTCGATGAATTTTTACATATGTATAAACCCGTGTACCGCCGCTCGCGTCGAGATACGGCACACTTCCAGCGCCCCAGCGGCCTTCCTGGGGCCGGGAGGTTATTTTTCATTGCCTTTCTTTTTGCACTTCTCCGGGAATAAACCGGCGAGGGAGTGATCGCCTTCGGAGGAAACGGAATTTCCGTGTTTTCTCCCGGCTCTGCTTTGCCCGGCCCTCTTTGGGCCTCGTGTCCTCTAAAGGGGAGCAAGAGACTGAGTTTGTTGCGCGGTTTATTCCTTGCAAAGCGCTTTAGAGACCTAGCTAACTGTGACCCTGGTAACGAGTCGAAGGAGTTAGCATTTGGTTTATACCGGATGGTTACCGATGGAAACACTATGACCCGAGGAGATTAAATAAATTGCCTAAATTTGGACAGCTCGTCCGTGGTGGGGCTTGAGACTCGGACAAAGGCCTGTCTAACCTTGACGTTCATCCTCTCCTTTTTTTCTTTTTTTCGTGTTCGTTGGCCTCTTTTGAAGAGCGGTACTAACAGAAGGCTCTGGCAAGGCGGGTCGTATCATATCTCTGCGCCTTTGCGCATGCAGTTCCTTCTATCTGGGACTCTACCCTCTTCCCCCAGGTTTTGTCCTTGAGGCAAGCTCCTACTCATCCTTCAAAACCCCACTAGGGCATCCTTTGAAGCCTTCCTAACTGCAATACTCCCTCGCGACTCACTGCAACCCAGAGTAGTCTCTCTGAGCCTTGTCCGACCGTGCACAGGCAGCCGCCACCCACAGAGCCCCGGGGTCTCCTCGAGGCTGCGTCCACGTTCAACCTGCAGGGCGCCCAGCACACAGCTGGTCTTCAATAAATGTACTTGGAACTGAACGTGGAGGAGAGGTTTTGGAATCTGGGTTTCCATCTCTGTATAAAGGGGACCCTACACTGGCCCTGCCGCGTGTCACTCAAAACATATCGAGCCAGGAAAGAGCTTTCCGAGCACCTGGGGCGGAACTGCAAGAAGAGAAAGGCTGCCCTTGGTCCCCCGACTCGGTTAGGGAATGGACTCGTCCGCGCCTCCCGGGCGGGTCCTCGGGGCTGCCTGGGGAGAGTTCATTCCTTCCACGAGGGAGCGTCTACGCGCCGAGGGCAGAAGCAGCCATCGCAGCCCCTAGGGACGCATAGCTCCCCCTTCCTTCCAGGGCCCTGCCGGTAGATAGGCAGCCGGTTAAGCGGTGGAGTGTCCTCAGGATCGTGATTTTCACTTTACATCCACACTTTCCTTCCTCGCAGAATTTGAGGGAGTTGGCAGGATATGCAATATAGCGGTGAAATGTAACAAAGGGAAGAAAAAAGATTATATATGCATTTTTTCCCTATAATCAAGCAAGCCCCCCATTCTCTACCCCGTAAATCTGACTTTGAACGTACAATTTGCTTTGTTAATGAGGAAAAAAGAATCCTTGCCCTTTGAACGAAGGAAATTTCCCCTCCTGGCGTCCCCTCTGTTCACTCCTATAGCAGACACCTTTTGGGTATCAGGAAAGTGAGGCCCGAGGGGTGAGGCATTTGCCCAGAACCAGCCAGAAGCAGGGACAGCATCAGCTGATGGAGCAGGCTGCCAGAGTACTGGCTCCGGCTAGACCAAGGCGGGGGTGGGGGGTGGGGGCGCATTTTCCTACTTCTCCACTGGGAGCTTTGAAAAATACTCCACCTTGAAGATGGGGTAGGTGTGACAAGGGCAGGGCTGAGTACTAAGGACGCAGTGGGGAGAGGAGGTCTGTGTGACCTGGGGGAGCAAGAGACAAGTTTGAGCCTCAGTTTCCTCATCTGCAAAATGGGGGCGATGAGCTCCCTGTCTTGAGACATAGGGAGTATCAGTTTCATAGGGAGATTGGGAAGGCCAGATGCAAGAAGGACCGAGTAATCAGCCGGCAATACTATCTTTATTATCCTCATTAACAGACGGGGAAGCTGAGGCCCAAGGACGGGACCTGGCAAGCTCAAGGCCCCTGTGGCAGGCCCAGGACTGGATCTTGGCCCTGGGGCCACCCAGCCTGGGTTCCTTCCTCTCCGCTACCATGGTGGTCCCTCTGCAGCCCTCCCCTGGCCTTGGGCAGTTCCGCTGTGGTCCTCCCAGAGAGACAGAGGAAGGAGCAGGCTTCCAGCCTTGTTCCAGCCCCTCGCTGGCAGTCGGGGCTGCTTCTCAGGAGGACAGATGTTTCACCAAATGGCAAATGCACGTGCCTTCCCTGGCTTGGGGAGGAGGTGGGCGCTGGGGAGGAGACGCCAGCTGGTTGGGCAGGGAGAATGGTAGCCACACCTGAGGGACTTAAATAGCCACCACCTTCTCTGGGCACCTGCTGGATGGGAGGCATCTGGGCAGGGCTGGGGGAGCAGGGAGCAGAGCGGCTCATTCAGAACCCGTCACAGCCCCTCCCAGAGGGACGTGGACCATGCCCCTCACCTCTCTGGGCCTCAATGCAAAGTGAGGATTTGAAGCCTGCTTCGGAGGGTGCTGACTGAGGCTGAACAGAGAGACTCTGACTAACGTGCCTGTCCCGGGCCTGCTACCCAGTGGATGTTCAACACTTGGTAGCTATTGTTATCCCAATCTCCCTGCCAGGACAGGAGTTCCCACTGCAGCGTCCCTGACAAATGGGCACCCACCCTCCACTCACCCCTCTCTCATGACAGGGAGCTCATCACCTCCCATGACAACCCACAGTGTAATGTAACCCTGGAGTCAGACTATGTGTCGGAATCCAGGCTCCAATATTTACTATCTGTGTGAATTTAAGCAAATTACTTAACCTCTCGGTGCCTCAGTTTCCCAGGTGTAAAATAATAAGAGTACCTCACTCCTAGTGTTGTTTAGATTATTGCCTCTCAAGTTTCATTGCACACAGATCACCCAGGGGTCTTGTTTCACTGCAGATTCTGATTCAGTAGGTCCAGACAGGGCCCGAGATTCTGCATTCCCAGCAGGTAATAAAGATGCTGCTGGTCCTTGGACCACATTCTGAGTCTCAAGGGGTTGCCTTGCCCTGGGAGTCATGGTGAGGGGGCCGTGGAAGGGTCACGAGTACAGCAGTGACAGATTTCACCGTGGCAAAGCCTCTCTGGTGGTCTGTGGCCAGGCGTGGGTGTGGGAGGATGCCAATAGTTCAGGGAGAGGTGAAGGTCCTGAATGGGAGAAGGGGCTACAGGGGTCAAAAGGAGGGAGGCGGTAAGGGCCCTTACCTCATGCTGTCCACTCCTACAGATGCAGAGACCAAGGCCCAGAGCGGGTGGCCCACCTGCTCAGGCCACACAGCTCAGGAAGGACGTCTGCCCACCGGCGGTCCTTCAGCCTTCACTCTTCCTGCCTCCTGGCTTGCCTCTGGAGTCTCTCCTGGCCTGTGCTCCTCTGTAACATCTTGTCATACCAAGAAGAGGGAGACGCTAGTGAGGGCCCTGGATCCGCCTGGGCCTCTTTCATACTCGCAGTAACCCCTTTTACAGATGAAACCACCGAGGCCAAGAGGGGAAGGTACTCAGCACCTAGGCTGGAACAGAGGGCAGGCTGACTCCCCTCCTGAGAGACTTTGATCCCACTGTTCACCTCTGATAGCTCAGGGCGGGACCAGGCGGCTGTTCAATTTAACAGGCGAGAGGGTGGGGCACCCGGCTCCAGCTCCTCTCCCCACCCAACGATGGATGACCAGTTCAAACCCCAGGATGATGATAATAGCAGTGGGTCACCGTCGATGGGGTGCTTCCAGCCTGCTAGGCTCATACCCAGCCCTGGCACGCCGGACCCCTTCACCCCGGCACCGGAGTTATTAGCCCAGTGTACAGAAGAGGGAACTGAGGCAGAGAGGGCCCAGCGGCTTGCCAAGGCCGTGCGCGGGAGGACCGCGGGTGCCGAGGGGGGCAGCAGAGGCCCGGGCTCCCGCGGGCACCTCTCGGAGCCGGGCCGCGCCGGCGCGGGACCTCGCAGGCCCAGGGTGGCCTGGGCGGCGGGCAGCGGGCCGGAAGCCCCCCGGCCTGGCCCGGCCGCCCCGCCCCGGGACCGAGTTGCTGGGACGGGCCGGGAGGCGGGATCTCGGGCGGGGCGCTTCCTGGCTCCCCCGGCGGCGGCCGGCCTGGCCACGTCACCGCCCGGCCAGGAGCGCGCGGGAGGAGCGGCGGCGCCCGGGCGGGGCGCGGAGCTCGGGGGCGCGGGCAGGGGCGCGCGGGGCCCAGGGCCGGGGACGTGGCAGCCGCCTCGCCCGCACGAAGTTCCCCGGAGTTGCCTGCGCGCGGGCTCAGGGCCGGCGGGCTGGACCATGAACGTGTTCCGTATCCTCGGGGACCTGAGCCACCTCCTGGCCATGATCTTGCTCCTGGGGAAGATCTGGAGGTCCAAGTGCTGCGCAGGTGAGGGGCGCCCCCGGCGGGAGGCGCGCGACCCGAGGGACCTCACCTCCGCCGGCCAACCCCATGGGGGCCCCTGAATCGGTTCAGGGTGGGGGCTTCGGCTTGGGGGTGCTTGAAACTGTTTTTGCACAGCTCAGTTTCCAAAGAAAACTTAAAGTCGTACCTCATCAGAGAAGGAGGACCCTGAAGACTACGGAGGGTGGGCTGCGCCTGCTTCCCTCCTTCCCTCCCACCCTTGGCGTCGCCACTGCTAGTTGAAAGAGGAGGAGGAGAAGGAAGTGGACTCCCTCCAGCCAGTCCTCCCCTTGGCTCCTCAGGAGCAGCACCCGCTTGAGGCCGTTGTTTTCTCTATTCCCGCTCAGGCCAGGATGGGGGACTTGAGGTGGGGGGACTGGGGAAGTACGCACACAGGAAGTGGCCCCCAACTCTTAGTCTTCTCTTTTCTTGCACCCCCTACGCCCCTCCCAGACATCCTCCCAGGCTGGGCCCCTTTCCCTCCCCCACTGCACGTGGCACAGGCGGCTGTGATGTGGCAAGCGGGCACAAGCCCGGCCCAGGTGGGCATGGAGCTGCCCTTGAGCAGAAGCCCAGGGAGAGCGGGAGGGGTCCTCCTCTTGCCCAGCAGTCTGACTGCCCTGCTGGGGGTTTGGGGAAGTTTCAGGGCTGGCCTGGCGGTGGCCAAGCAGACCCAGTGCCTAAGAGGCTGCCCAAGCCTCCTGCAGCCATCTTTATCCGCTGGTGTCCCGGAGGCGCGGGCCTTCTGCTTGGCACTGAGGTGACGGGACGTAGAGAGGAACGCAGGCTCCTGGTGGGGGTCCAGGAGGCAGAGAGCAGACCCCTGAAGGCTTCATGGAGGCAGCAGCTCTGTGCTGGCTCCTGGCAGATGGGCAGGGCCTCGCCCAGGCAGGGGGTGTGCTGTGAGGAGGGCGCTGGGGGTGTAAAACCCAGGGGCCACAGAGGGCAGGGCATGTCCAGGGAAGGGTGAGCAGCCTGATTCGGGGGTGGTCTGGGGAGGAGATGAGACCAGGGGGGTGGGTGGTCCAAATGTGAAGGGGCTAGGGGGTTGGGACTGGGGGTCCATGGAAGGTTTGTGAGCAGGGGACGGGGCTCAGAAGGGGACCTGAGGCAGGTCACTCTGGAAGTTATGTGGAGAGAGGAGGCGGAGAGAGCAGTGTGGAGGCTGCCAGCCTGGGCGGCTTGGTGCGTGGGAGGGTGGTGTGAAGTCAGTCGGAGGCAGTGGTTCTAGACCTGGAGGCCGTTCAGGTTTGGGGTCTCCGGATAGAAAGGCACTCACGGCCCTTCAGGTTCCCACTCAGGAGAAGTGGGCTGGGATGCTGAGAGGGGAGATCAGGGGCAGAAGGCTCCAGCAAGGGGAAGGGACCTGTCCCTGTGCTTGCACGGCCGGCCCTGGGCCCGGTGAACAGCCACGACCGGGAGGGGGCGCTGTTCCCCATCCCACTGGACTAGGCACGTGGGGTGAAACGCCGACTGAGATGCTGGCCTGTGGAGCTGACTCTAGCGGTGGGAGAGTGCTGACAAGCAACAGTCCCAGCAACCGAGTAAATGATAGGGTTTGTTAGAGGAGTGAGCGCTCTGGGAAAAGGAAAAGGGCAGCTGGGTGGCGGGGCGTGTGTATGTGGAGAGGGATCGGCACAGGCCTGCTTGAGATCTGAGGAGCTGAGGGGCCTGCATGCCAGCCCTGTCAGCCCTGAGGTGACCCCCACTGACCCAGCCCTGAAAGCAGGAGACTGGGGCTTCGTTCTCGCTCCACCACTGACTCACTGTGTGACCCTGGGCCTCAGTTTCCCCATCCGTCAAGTGGGAGGGAGGGCTGCACCCAGTCCGCGGGTCCCGAGTGTGCTCAGTGGACCCCCGAAGGACTCTGGCCAGGCGGCAGCTCCTGTTCTCTTCTGCGTCCTGGGTCTCCCTGCGCGGCTTGCTTTGGTGGAAATTAATCACTGCTTTCAGAAGAGCGTGGAAACCGCAGTGCGCAAGATCGCCGGGGCTCCCAAAGCACTCAGGAAAATGTGAGCGAAGCCTGGGGGCCTGGCAGGCTGAGGACGGAAAGAGGGGAGGGTGGGGAAGACCGTGTGAGGTGTGAGGGGGTAGCCAGCGTCACCCCCAGGGCTGCCTCCTGCACCCCCCTAATGGGGCTGAGGGCCTCCTGGCCAGGCCTCTGCGAGGGGGCTCAGGGAGGTGGCAGAGCAGCAGGCTCAGCCCGCAGAGCTGCCTCGGGTCCTTATTGCCTCCCAGACTCCACCCCCGAGGGGGCTCCTTCACCCACAGCAAGCCCCCCCAGCAAGGAGGCGCCCACGGTCTCACCGAATCCTATTTCGTCCTGTCAGTCTGCGCGTCGGTGTGAGGCTGCCCATCTCACAGATGAGGAGGGTGAGCTCACGCTTGCCATGCGAGGACGAAAGCCGGCACAGGGCCCCAGCGCTCTCCAGAATGTTAGGGGCTTCAGCGGCGTTCATCCTCAGGGGTTCAAATTGTCCCCCTCCCCAAAATGTCCAGCACCAGAGGAATCGTTAGAAAAGGCACAGTTCAGGCATACAAAGGACCCAGACCCTGAATCAGGTAATGTCACTTCTCGGTGCCAAACTCCCCAGTCGTTCCCTTACATTTAGAATAAAATCCAGACTATCACCATGGCTGGAGGGAGGGGGTGAGGGGGGAGTGATCAGATCGGGCCGGCGAGGCAACGGGAGTGGCCCAGGCAGGCCCTCACGAACCAGGATAAGGATTTGGGTCTTTATTTTAAGGGCATTTGGGAGCCACTTAAGGACTTTAGGCAGAATTTTATTCTAAAAATAGCCGATTGGTTGCTGGGTGGAATTAGGGGAGGAGTGGGCAGCGAGGGCAGACTTGGGGACACCAGTTGGATCATTGGGGTAGGGCGGCAGGGCTGAGTGAGGGGCACTGGAGTGGGGGCAGTGGGGCTGAGCAATATGGAGGGGGAGGAAGAAAGGGGAGAGAGACTCAAGGATGGCCCTCAGTTTTCTAGCTGGAGCACAGACGGGACTATGGTGGCATTTATGAAGGAGGGGAGACAGGGGAAGGAGGGGGTTCGAGGGGAGATGACAGGAGTATATAGGTCAGAACTCGGAGGAGAGTCCAGAGCCAGAGTGTCTCTGGCATGTGGGATGAGATGGCACAGGGACGGGGAAGAAGAAATGTCGCTCTCCAAGGACCAGGTGGCAAGGAGGACAGGAGCAACCAGAGGAGGTGAGAAGCCAGCAGTCTGGACAGTCGTGGAAGCCAGGGGAAGAGTGTGGCTTGAGGCAGATGGAGCGCTCAGCTGGCTTTTGAGATTGGGCGGCGGAGGACAGAGCTGACCTTTGGATGCAAAGCCGTGGGTGGCGTTGATGGGAGTGGTTTGGTGAAGTATCCAGACTGGTGTGGGCTTGACAAGGCAGGAGACGCGGCGGGGCATCCGCTGGCCTCGGCCAGCAACCTCCATGATGTATCAAAAAGGTGGCCAAAAGGAGACAACGGAGCATGATGGCTAAATGCAGCTTTGAGTCCTGGATTGGATCCTGGAACCGAAAAAGGGCGTCAGTGGGAAAACGGGTGAAATCTGAATGAAGTCTGGAGTTCAGTCAATAGTGCTGTACCAATGGGAGCTTCTTCGTTCTGGTAAATGTTCTGTGATTATGCGAGATGTTAGCGTGAGAGGAAGCCGGGTGAAGGGTATATGGGAGCTCTCTCGACTGCCGTTGCGCCTCTTCAGTAAACCTAGAATTACTCAAAATAAACAGTTAAAAAAGAAAGAGGCCAAAGCAGGTCAGGAAATAGCCTGGAAAGTATGAGCCCGGTTTTATCAGCTCGATGCGTCCGTACATGTCATATGCGTGCACATATGTGTCGTGTGCACGTGTGCGCCAGCGAAGATCTGGAAGGATGCACACTGGGGCTGTGGGGTTCTTGTGACTGCTGGGTTTTTTATTTATATCTTCATGTATTATCTGTTTTTTGTTTTACAGAGGGTAAAAATAGTTGTAACTTTTATAAGTAGAAAGTGCATTTTTAATCCTTAAAATTTGGAAAATAAAATCGAATGTTCCCCTGGCCCCGTGCCTTCCTCCGCCCGCTCCAGTCTCCCTGGTGAATCAACACCTTGTAAAATCAGTGAGTTGTTCTCTAAAAGATAGAGCCTTGGGGACTGTCAGTGGAACTCTGCGGGTGGAGCGAAGAGAAGCCTCGACACCCCCCACCGAGCCCAGCTCACACCACCCCCCCGACGCCCTCCCCAGAGCAGGAACCGAGGCAGGCGCACCAGGGGCCGCTGGGAACGTGGCGTTCGTGTCTTTATTTGGAGACCGGGAGACAGATTACAGCCTAATGAGAGGAACACAGGCTCAAGTGATCCAGTTGGAAGGGGTGTTTCCTAAGTGTCGGAGAGTGACAGTGCCCTGGACACGGTGTCGTCATTAAGTGTGACTGGACGCTCTATGGGCCCTTCGAGCTCAGGCTCGGGGCTCCTCGAGGGTGTGTGGGCCTGGCAGTCGGTGTTCTCATTGTCTTCTATCCCCATCTGGCCATAGGTATCTCGGGGAAGAGTCAGATCCTTTTCGCTCTCGTCTTCACCACCAGGTACCTAGACCTGTTCACCAACTTCATCTCCATCTACAACACAGTAATGAAGGTGAGGGGGATGGGTGGCCGTGGCGGTGGGGCCTGCCGAGCACCCCCAACCCTGAGACCGCAGGCTTGGGAACTCAGGCCGTGGAGCCAGGCAGACCTGGGTTTGACTCTGGGCTTGTTGCTGTTAGCAGCTGCGGGACCTAGGCTTGTGCAAGGCCTCTGTGTGCCTCAGTTTCCTCATCTGCAAAATGAAGATACTAGTACTTACCTCAGAGGGTTTTGTTGTGAAGGTTAAATGAGGAAATAAATATAAATATGCAATAGCTGTCATATATTAAACATTCAATAAAGGTTAGCCATTGTAATGGTTAAAAAATACACAAAAAATCAAACGTGGAACCCTGAGCTTTCAGAGAACTCATTCATCCATCCATCCAAAAAATATTTATCGAGCCCCTGCTGTGAGCCAGGTACCTGAAGACGACGAGGAGGCTCCCATTCTCTAGGAACCGACATTCTAAGTGGGGAGACAGATAATAAAACAAGCAAGAAAAACTTTGTTTAGGGTTAGGGATAATTAAAAACTAATTAAAATAGGGTGATGTTTCCTTCGATTATTAAAAAAAGTTTTAAAAATAGGGTTACGTGATGGAGAATGAAGAGGGGGCTGTTCAGGGAGGGTGCTCAGGGAGGGCCTCTCCGAAGAGCTGACGTGAAAGCCAAGATCTGAGCGGCACAAGGAACCAGCCGTGTGAAGGAAGAGCTTCCCAAGCAGAAGGAATAGCTTGTGCAAAGACCCCCAAGACAGATACGAGCTCAGGGTACTCGAAGGACAGACAGAAGGCGGGCGCGTGGGGAGCTCAGCAGGCGAGGTCTGCCCGCTGGTGGTGGGGATGCTGGCAGAGGGCTGGGTGAGGACAGGTGGCGCAGGTTAACAGTTCAGACTTAATTTTGTGCTGGGAAGTTGTTGCTTTGAAGCACGGCCGTTTCACAGAAGGAGAAACTGGGCATCTCTCATTTCCGCTCTGATGTCCCAGGCCCTGGGCCGTAATTGTTAGGTCATGCTTCTGAGCTTGTAACCAACCATCCTGCTCTTTAAGGCAACATAGAAGAAGGAGCCCAGGTTTCAGAGTCAGAAAAGTAGGATGTAACTGCTTGGATTCTGATAACAGAGACTTAAATTATTTTAAAGAGGTAATGGTTTTCATAAGATGAAATCTGGAGGTGGGGGCTCCAGGGCTGGGATGGCAGCTTCTTTTTAATTTTCTGCCCTGTCATCTCTGTGACAGGACTCATGGATGTTTGACCTATGCAGTTGCTCAGAAGGGCCCCATGCTTGGTTGAATGCTCTGCTCTTGCCATCTTGGAATTCTTAATTTTTGAACTAGAGGCCCTGCAAATGATATAGCTGGTCCTGAATGTGATAGCTATTGTCCAGCTTGCCTCAGGGTCACAAAATGGGTGCTAGAGCTCCTACCATCATATCACATTCTAGGTGGGGAGGAGGAGGAAGGTGAGAACTAGCAATAGGGTGCCTGCCAGCTAGATAAGCCCTTTTTAAAGTGCTTTCCCCAAACTCTACCCAGTGACTTCCATCTACATGTTACTGACCACCCTTATCTGCAAAGGAAGCTGGGAAATATAGTTTTTAGTTGGGCACATTGTCTAACAGGAATCCTGTTTTTAAGGAAGAAAGGCTACATGGGGGGAATCCTACCTACCTATCTTGCAGGGCTATTGTGAAGATTACATGAGATAATATATGTAAAGTGCCTAGTACCCAGAAGATATTTGACCAAAGCGAGTTCTCTTTCTCCTCCGTATCAGAGATGTCCTTTTAGGGTTCCAGGCAACTTATTCCTAGAATTGGTGGAATGGAGGATGCTGTTACTTGCGGGGTGTTGAACTCAGTGTCAACTTCAGTCTGAGGTCTTAAAATCACTGTCTACTTAAATCCAACACACAAGTAGCAAAAACCATAAGCCAAGGGTCTGCCTTGGGCAGTCCTGCCAGGGACTGCAGACCCAGCTGTTGGCATGGCTGCATGAGCTCTAGGAAACTCAGAGGCCAATTTCTTGGTGACAGATGGTAATTAGTCTTTGGGTGGTGAACATGATGTAGTCTACACAGAAACTGAAATATTAATGATGTACACCTGAAATTTATATAATGTTCTAAACCAACGTTACCTCAATAAAAAAAAGAAAAAAAAAACGTGAGAAGATAAGCCACAGACTGGATGAAAATATTTGGAAAACATCTGATGAAGAAGTTTTAAAACCGCTATACTCAGGTCCTTTATAGCTCCAACAGTCAGTTACTACTTTATTCTTCTTTCTTTTGTTTTTGTTTTGTTTTTTTTGTGTGTGTTTTTGAGGAAGATTAGCCCTGACCTAACTGCTGCCAATCCTCTCTTTTTGCTGAAGAAGACTGGCCCTGAGCTAACAGCTGTGCCCATCTTCCTCTATTTTATATGTGGGACGCCTACCACAGCATGGCTTGCCAAGTGGTGCCATGTCCACACCTGGGATCTGAACCGGCGAACCCGGGGCTGCCGAGAAGCGGAACATGGGAACTTAACCACTGCACCACCGGGCCGGCCCTATTATTCTTTCTTTAATGACAGTGCTAAGATTCTACAAATAAAATTTTGGCATATCACTCAAAAAAAAAAAAAAAAAAAGAGGCTAGTTTCCACTTGCGTGAAACACAGATGTGATCACCACTTGACTGAATCATGCACTCGTTCCAGCGTTTGTTTCGTGCCAGGCCCCGAGTTAGGGGCTGGGAGTCAGACGTGCTCAGCATACGGACCCTCCTGTGGAGTCCCCCTCGCAGGGGAGACAGACTGTACGTAGACAGAGCACATGCGATCCTGGCGGCAGTGAGCATTTTCACATGGAGCTATGGTGACAGTACGTGTGCTTCATTCTGGTGCGAAAAGAATTTGAGGAAATAATGTAACCTGAGTTTTGAAGTACAAAGAGGAGTTCTCTAGGCCAATGTGGTCCTGGACCAGCACCATCAGCGTCGCCCAGGAACTTGCTAGAAATGTAAATCCTTAGACCCACTCAGACCTGTTAAATCAGAAACTCTGGGGGCAGGGGAAGGGCAGCCATCATGTGATTTTGATGCACATTCAAGTTTGAGAACCTCTGGCCCAGAAGGGTAAAGGCTAGATCATAAAATCCTTATATGATGGAGGACAGCTACTGTAATTAGAGAGAGCTTTTCTGTAGGAGCGACGATCAACTGATTGAAGGGATGTTGGTCCTTGGGGAAGAATGCTCACAAGTCACTGATGCAGTGGCCAGCCCAGTGGCGTAGTGGTTAAGTTCACACACACTGCTTCGGTGGCCTACGGTTCACAGGTTCAAATCCTGGGCGCCAACCTACACACCACTCATCAAGCCATGCTGAGACAGTGTCCCATAACAAAGTAGATGAGGACTGGCATGGATGTTAGCTAAGGGCCAATCTTTCTTACAAAAAAAAAAAAAAAAAAAGCCTGGGAACACCACTGCTGAATTCCTCACGAAGACCAGTCCCGGTTTTTTTGCCTAACGCTCTCCTAGGCCTATGAGTCTTCACGGTAGCACAATCAGTCCCAATTAGAAGCATGGAGTCACTCAACAGAAAGGTCATGAGCTTCAGGTTCTAGGCCACTGACCTAAGAGAAGTTGCGGACACATATCACCTCTCCCACTTGAAGGCAGAGCACTAGCCCTTGAGTTTGGTAGGCCCCAACTCAGGGTGGCCTTGAAGCCCAGCAAATAGGCTGGGAAATGACTTCATTGATTCCCATGCGTCTCCCTTTTCAGGTGGTTTTTCTCCTCTGTGCCTATGTGACGGTGTACATGATCTATGGGAAATTTCGGAAAACGTTTGACAGCGAGAATGACACATTCCGCCTGGAGTTTCTTCTGGTCCCAGTCATTGGCCTCTCTTTCCTTGAGAACTACAATTTCACTCCCCTGGAGGTAAGGGAAGGGACCCAGAGTACTAATACCCCAAGGGAAACATGCTCCCTAACATTCTTCCCTCTGGACCCTTAGTAACAACTGGGCTCGCCTTCTGCTACAACTGTGACTATTACTCACATACTGTTCAGTTCTAAGTTTAGAAATTGGCAACAAGCTATTCACACTGCTCCACTTGAAAATGGGCACGTCTAGACAGTCACGCTCTTAAAGCAGGCATCACAGCACCACTGCCACATGAGCTAAGGTATGCCAAGTGCCCAGCACCCAGAAGACATTTGACCAAAGCGAGTTCCGTTTCTCCTCCGTATCAGAGATGTCCTTTTAGGGTTCCGCGCATCTTATTCCTAGAATTGGTGGAATGGAGGATGCTGTTACTCTCGGGGTGTTGAACTCAGTGTTCTATAGAAATGTTCACGCTATGTTGTGAAGAGAGCAGCATACTTGAACCTTTTAAAAAATATTTTGCATTTACAGAGAAAGGGGTCGAATGATGTACCGATTAAAATTATTAAAAATTTCAAGAATGTGATTTTTCGCTTCACTGTACTCTCGTTAACGTATTATGGTAATTAAGTTCTCTTAAAAAGATGGTCCCCTTCTTGGCCTTCATCAGCTTCCTCTGGCCATTTCTCTCTGGCTCAGATCCTCTGGACGTTCTCCATCTACCTGGAATCAGTGGCCATCCTACCCCAGCTCTTCATGATCAGCAAGACTGGCGAGGCAGAGACCATTACTACTCACTACCTGTTCTTCCTTGGGCTGTACCGGGCACTCTACCTGGCTAACTGGATCAGGCGGTACCAGACCGAGAATTTCTATGACCAAATCGCAGTGGTGTCTGGAGTAGTACAAACCATCTTCTACTGTGACTTCTTCTACTTGTATGTGACCAAAGGTAGGTGCTGGGAGAACAGGGTGGTTGCTGGCACTGGCCTACGGAGTTACTATTCAATTCGAGGGGATGTGGAAGAGAACAGAGGCACCTCGTGGTGCTTACATCCTAATGTGGGAAGAAAACAAGTATTTTCAGGGAACAAGCACCATGAAAAAAATAATACAGACCAAGAACATACTGTATTTACTGTGCACAGTGTAGAGGGAAGACGGCTGGGGGCTAACATTTGATCTAATACTTGGTTAGGAAAATATAGGAGAAAAATGTTCTACAGAGAACAGCCTATGTATAAGCCCCAAGGCAGGAACCAGCTTGGTGTGACAAAGAACAAAAAGCCTATAAACCTGGAGAGTGAATCAGGTCAAGCAAGGACAGCCACAGAGGACCTCATAAGCTAGGATAAGGGGTGTGCATTGTATTGATGGCAAAGTGTTACTGGAAGGTCATTTAAAGAACCACTCCACCAGATGCCCTGCAGGGTAACAAGCAGCCAAAGCAGGGAGACTAGTTATGGGGCAGCTCCAACTGTCCAGGAAGAGGTCTTCAGTGGAAACAGAGACGTGGACAGATCTTGAGTGGAGTTATGAAGGACTGATGGACTGCATGTGTGGTGTGGAAAAGGCCACCTGCTAAGTTTATGGCCTAAGGAGGGAAGTGGTGGTGGTGGCGGTATCAGTAACCAAGACGGGTCAGTGAGTCTGTAGTTAACCTGCAATGCAGCTTCCCCCTTGGCTTTAACACCTGACTGTTGACTGTGAGCTGGGCATTAGAGATACTAAGATCATGCACAAAGTTAGGAAGGAGTCCTTCCATCAGTGTGGTAAACTCCAATTTCATCTCCATTTCCTTCTAGTCCTTAAAGGAAAGAAGTTAAGTCTTCCAATGCCAATTTGAGGGCCCTCAGAGACGTTCTACACCTCAAGGACAGAGAGCAAACTACATGAAATGTTCTCCTGGATGACTTACACAGACCAAACGTTACAATCAAAGCCAGAAAAATGCTTAGTGTGGATCTCAGCAAAGCATGATCATTCCATCTAGAAGACATTCTCATCAGTATCTCCCTTCAAGAGGTAATGAAAAACCTGGGCCAATCACACCAATATGGTGCCTCACAACATCAAGAAACCTTAGGTGACAAACCCTCGAATGGGTCAAATAAACTTGCTCTCCAAGGGCCTAGTGGGAGACTCACGCTAAGGAACGGTCAGCCCCCATCTGAAGAGACACGCTTCCGCGCATACGGCCAATGTCCCAAAGGAAGGCCACAGTCCAGTATCACAAGCACGCTGTTGTGGCACTTTTCACTTCCTGGGTAGGAGACCACCAAATTTACCGAGTCAAGCCACAAAGGTGATGGCCTACAGGTGTGAAATGTAACCTGCCTTCAAGCCACAAGCAAACCAAACTTACCACCTTTGGTTAGATTTAAGTAGTTTCATGTCTCACCTTTAAAACTGACTTCATTCATACTGTCACTCACAGTAGCCCGATAATCAGTACTTTAGTCCAAATAACCACATCTGTGGGTACCACCAGCATGACGATCATTTTACTGATGAGGAAAAGGACACCTAAGCCTTTACCTACCAGGTAGTCTGCCTTGCTGCTTTCTAATTCAAACCTTTACATTAAGAGCAATCAATCCCACCTCCCTTCCACCATTTTAAGTGCAAAGGTGATTAGTCAATCCAACATCCTCAACTTTGGTCTTGAAGCAAATAAAAACTTATAAGGACCACCCTTGGACTATAGTCAATTTTTAAGCAATAAAAAATTCACACCTTATTGTCAACAGTGTTTTATTTATACCTACAAAAGAAAACAAGATGGTATCAAAAGGACAATTTACAAACTAAGAATAGTAACATAGCTCTTAGCATCCTGTGCCTGAACATCACACATCTACAAACCTTTCAAGTCTTAACACAACAGGAATGTGTTCAGAGACCAGCAGACATGAATAGAGCACTGATCCCAAGCAAAAGCCACCAACCACCCAGCCAGCCATCTTTTAGAGAAGTCCACAAAATGAACTGTTAGGGAGGGATTGGGGAGTAGCAGCCCCATAGCTTAACATTGAGATCTTTTCTAAATGAGTCTCCACCATGACTGCAAAAACTAGCATCAGATGAGGACTCTTCTGCTCATGTTCTGAAGCAGAGAGAACCTGAATCATAAGTGACAGACACAGAGGCAGAAGAGTTACTCCAGAGCTATACAGGAAAAACTGCTAGATCTCAGCTGTGCTCAGGCCACTATAGCTTTTGAGATTTGGAATATGCTGTTATTTAGACTTTATGATTGCAACATCTCTGGTGGAAAAAAGGAAGCAAGCAGCAGACCAAACACCCATTGCTTGCCCAGAGACCTTGCCTGCAAAGGGATGCTTTTAAGACCTGCAAGAGGAGGACACCCCCTGTGGTAGTACCTCTGTGTTTAAAACAAAAAACGAGTTTTGGCGTAGAAAGAAATGTGTACAATGGACTGGTCAGTGCTTAGGCAACATTTGGGGGGGGAGGGGGGGCGGATACTTTGGTTTGAAAACACAGAGCAGTTTTGCCATGTTTTTCCTGTGCCTACCATCCTCCCTTGGCCTCAACTTCTGTAAGAAGGGGGGGAAAAAGAGAAGTAAAGTTAAGAAAGAAGAAAGTGAAAAAAACAAAAAAGATGTCAAAGTTCTTACATGCATATATTTCAGCTTATGCTGACAACCTACCTGTACGTTGCACATTCAACCATACTTTCAGAACCCCTCAGAAACAATCCCTTCTCTCTCCCTGAAGAATTTTAAAAGGAAAATAAAACAAAAATCCCAAATATTTAGATCTTACAAACCAGCAAGCACTCTCAGGCCTTAGCCAAAGAATGCAATGGAGCCTTCCTCCTTTAACTACATTATTAATGAACAATACTGCTAACAGCATAAAAAAAACTAATAGTCCCACAGTGGATATGAAAGAGGTTTCTGGGGCTGTCTGATCTCCCTGTTCTGTTATGGTGAAAACAAGAGCAGAAGATTCTTTCTAGGCTTGTCTATTACACGAAGTCTCAGGAAAAGAGTATTATTGTGAAGGGGCAAACTCCCCTCCCTTCAGATGGAGGAAAAGCGAAAGGACTCCGGCTTCAGTCCTCTGTCACTTTTCTTAAGCACTACCTACCTGTAACAAAGCTGAGTGCAAAAGGATGCCGAGGAAAACCTGCATCCCAAAGCTGTTAGAAAGCACTGCAGAGAACAGAGTGTGAACACAATTAAGAGTTCTTTCTTAATAAACCCTTAACATTCTTTATTCAAGATAACTTGGCCAAAAGGGCTGACTAGCTGGCAAAGAGTTGCTTTTATTCTAGCTCTACAAATACTGAGCTTAAAAAGAAAACTTGCCCATTCAGTATATTCGGTTTATAATTAAAGGTCGTTTTTACACTGCAGGTGAATGCATACTTAACTGGCTAATAAAATAAATTTCCAGTGAGCACGTATGTTCATTCTGCTCACAGCAGCTGTCCGATTGGAAAATGAATTTCACAGATGGTCCCTGGTTATACGGGGAAGAAAAATAGGCAGCTTCCACCAGATGCTGAGATGCTACATTTAACCATTGCAATAAACACTTGGGGTTTTTAATTAAAAGATACACTTAAAAAACTCAGACTCAGCAATTCAATTTCTAACCTGACACTAAAACGGTTATTTTTCAGTAATTGGGAAGGGGAAAGGCAAGGTGTAAGGGAGACAAAACCAATTAGAAATTTTTTTAAACTGTCAAATGCACTTAACAAGCAATCAGCCAAAACAACATGGCAAAGCACTGTCTGAAAAACTCATCAGGCCTTGAGGAACCCTGTTCCAGCGTGAAAAATGTTAAAAAGCATTAGAGAAAATGTGCAGGGAGCTCCCTCTTGGTTTTCTAACCCAGTAATGAGAGCAATTTAAAGCAAAGATGCCATCTTCTTCTGCAGAATTCAACCCTCCACCCTCCCCCACCCCAACTCAGGACAACAAAAAATGGGCTCCCACAAAAGGGCCTAATACCTTACTTTTTCTTTTAAGATGAAAAATAGCTCAAATATCCTCAACATGCAAGAAGTTGGGGGGGGGGAATCTTCCAGTCGGCTGTGTGTGTGTGTGTTTATATATATATATATATATATATATTTTTTTTTTTTTTACAAAATCTGTTATTACAGACTGGATCATTTTGGTGGGCAGAAGAAACCTGGCAGTGAGTTCTAACTAACCTGCATGAAAGACAAATCACAATGGTTGGGGAAAAAATAAAAATAAAAAAGAAAGGAAAGGGGAAGAGGAAAAAAAAAGGGGAAAGACAGCGCTCCTTTAAATGTAGTTAAGTTTGCACAAGTCACTACCACTTGAGTGGTTTCATTTACGTGAAGGAGGAGGGGGAGGAGGGGGAGGAGGGTATTGGTAGGCAGTCTGCCCCATGTAACCTATCATATTGGTAGCTCCTGGAGGCTGTGCAAACTGTTGTGACATCAGTGGCTGTGGCTGCTGCCCAGACCGGCCTATCCCACTAAACTGCTGGCTAGAGCTCTGTGAACTTCTCCCAGTTGAGGTGGTGCTACTAGCCCCGTAAGTGCCAGCGCCATATTCCTGGGCTGTATAGCCACTGGTGCCATAAGCAGCTGCCCCATAGGTGCCTTGACCATAGGTGTATTGGCCTGCTTGTGCTCCAAAGGCAGAATTTGGACTTCCATAGCCACTGCCATTAGCGTAACCAGCTCTATCGGTTTCACCACGATCCCGATAGCTTGTAGAGTCTCTCCGGCCACCATCCTTGACTCCTCGAAGCCTCCGGTCACACTCATCCTGATACATCAGGTTGGGATTGTTGGCTGAAGAAGTGGTCCGGTACCGAGAACGACCTCCTGATGGGAGGATACAAGGAATTTTTAATGCCAGATACAGGATTCAAATATAACCACACGTAAAAATTCTACTAGGTACAAAAGTATTCAACATTTTTTTTTAATCTTTAGCTAGGGCAGCCTCCAAATCAGTATTTAAAAAATATACCCATAATTTGACTCTTTAACAGGACACATTCCAAAGAATGATAAACATTAAAAGATACCCAACTTCCCACCATTTCAGTCCTTTCTTTATTTGAGGATTACCAAGAAACACAATCTTTAAAATGTAGGAACAATGATAAAGAGGTTTAGGTGACTTACCTTAGGTTAAAAAAAAAAAAAAAAAAAATGACAAGCAGCTAATATCACCATGACGGGACCCTCTCTTAGCGCAAGTGGCTCTCAAATGTTGCTTTGTAGACCTAACTGCACCAGAATCATCTCACAAGCTCTAGGGAAAAAGGCTCAGATTCCTAGCTCAATTCCAAAGCCACTTAAAAAAAAAACAAAGCTGTATTTTAAAAAACCTCTTAGGTGATCCTGATGCAGAGCTTCAACACGCAATAGGCTGAGGAAAATATAATACCAAACTGGGTCGTCAGGAAGCCCAGGTTCTAGTATATTTTGCAACTGTCCACTTTCCAGATTAAATCACACTACTGAGGCTTTCAAAGGCATTAAAAGCAACCATAATTCAGCTCAATTCTGAATACACACCATATACTTCAAAATACAAAGGTCAGTTTTACATTGTTATCTACACAAATACTCTGCTGCAAAAGTAGGACAATCCTGACCGCACTGCCCCCAAACTTCACACTGTCTTACTTAGGAGAGATTACTAAAACCTACTAGGCACTGTCCTTTATTAGCAAGCAACATACTTAAAGGTTTCACAGGAATTAAAAAACAAGACACAATGATGAAAAAAAGATACCTTGGCAGTACCTGGAGAACTCCAGGACTTACCCTTACCCCCTCCTCCGCCGCCTCCTCTGTGGTCCACCAGCTGCATCAGTTTAGGATTGATAGCCTGATTAGCCTCTTCCAGAACCTTGATCAACTCTCTGGCCTGCTTTAGATTTCCTGGGGTGAAGAAGGTGTACGCAGTGCCCTTATTGGTGCTACGGGCTGTTCGGCCAATACGATGCACATAATCCTCTGAGCTGTTTGGATAGTCATAGTTGATCACAAACTTGACATCTTCCACATCTTCAAAGCCAATGATGAGTCAGTGTGTAGGTTGATGTGGCAGGGAAAGAGAAGGTAAAGGACATGCCAACAACAGGTGGGAAGCACGAATGCAGATGACAGCAAGAGGAGAGAAGACTAAGTTAGTGACCACTCTGCATAGGAACAAAAAAAGACTCATCCCAACAGAGTAAAAGAGGATTAATGATTCTTGGGACATGCACAGGAAGTGGCATCTTTATCAGCTGCAAAATCCTAAGGAAATCCCATTCAACCATCCAAACTCCCGCCTCCTCTGTATTTTTACCAATACACTGACAGGAGTTGCAGCAAATTCCAGTTCTATCCTTTTCAAAACTGGAACGTAGAAAAAAGTGGTACCACCGTTAACTTACAAGGCCAAATCACTTCTACTCTGTTGGGAGAAGCCTGGCAAAATCTACCAGTAACATAACAAACTTACCTTTAAACCAGTCACAGAGCAAAATGAAAAAAGAAACTTCATATACCTTATTACTACGTTTTCAAAGAGACTTAATCAAGATATTTAGATTAAAAAAAAGTTTTGCTCTTATATTTTAAAAAACTGATCAGAGCCAAGTACACCTATTTTCCTTTGCAGAAACACCCAAATCATCTTTCCCCTTTCAATTACCACAAGAGCACATTACACTAAAATTTCACTGTACTACCAAGCCCAGCTCTGCCAAATGAGGTTTTTTGCT